AAGCTAGAAAAATCTAAGGTGTTGGGCCAATATTGGAAGTACTGTTAAAAACTAATGTTATTTAGGTTTATATGCACACATATAAACATATTTTAGAGAGGGAGGGTACCAGGGATTGAACCCAGGTGTTCTCTACCACTGAGCTACATTTCAGCCCTTTTTTGAGATGGGTTTACTCTCAGTTGCTGAGGCTGGTTTCAAACTTGTGATCTTCCTGCCTCAGTCTCCTGAATTGTTGAGATTATAGGCATGTGCCACCACACCCAGCTAAAAATATAATTTAAAATGTGTTATGTATGTGTGCACACATGTAGTTTTATTTATTGCTTAACTGTCTTCTGAGAGAGCATAGGAGCAACAAGTGCGAAAAGCACCCAGCTTTCAGGTTTTAACCAAGGTGGACTGGAAAAATGGCAATTCTATGGACTGTGAAAGGTAAGTCTGGGTCATCTTGTGTCAGAAGCTACTCAAAGAATGGCAGAGACACACCAAAAGGACACATGAACCACTTCAAAAGGATTCCCCACTGGCAAAATCAAAGATAATATGAGCAACAAAATAATGACAGTAATGGAATACAGCCTATTAATAAAATAAACCAAGAGTCGATATTAATATAAATATATAAGGAGAGAAGGAAAAGAACTCCTTATAGAAAGCTAATAAATGAAGACAAAATGAAGCAAGAATCATTCTTTGCCAACCTTCATAGAGGTAGCTGACTGAAGTGGAAGTTATTGATCAAGGAAAAGACTTGAGGAACAGGACACTGGTGTAAATTGGAATTACATTATTAATTCCAATTACATATTGGAATATGCCCCCCCAAATACTGATTAATACAAAGGGTACCATTTTGAATTTACAGTAGAAAAAACTGGGAACCATATCACCCCTAGAGATATGGTTTCCAAAGTGCCTCCTGAAGCCATACAGAGCTAAGCATATCATTTTTCTGGAATTCCTGCTGAGGCAAGACCTGTGTTCCTGATGACACAGTCAGATAGCCCCAGGTTAAGTAAAGTCAACCTATAGGATGTAAGGTCACAAACTTTTATAATTGTTGAGGACATGAAAAGGAAAATACGAAACTTAGGATGTAGTTTCCAAAAGAGGAAGGGATTTTTTCAGGTAAGACACATTAAGTAAATACTACAGGTTCCTACATGGGATCCTAGATCAGAAAGGAGAGACATACTATTGGGAAAGCTGGGGAAATTTGAATCCATAGTGGTTATATAGGAGAATACCTTTGTTTTGGGAACATACTTAATGGAATACTCAGAATGACTTCTCTGACTTGTTCTTCAAAGGTTAGAAGAACATAATATGCATTTACATAGATATACATAGCTTTTGTTTACTAGTAGCACAAGCAATTTCATAACAAAAATCGACGCCCTCACCACTTCAGCATTTTTCTCTTTTATGCTAAACTTTTTAAATAAGCAAAAATTTTATAGTTGCAGACATAGTATAGATATTTTGCACTTTCATATTTTAATACAAGTTAGTTTATTTATTTTTTGGTACTGGGGATTAAAACCAGGGATGCTTTGCCACTGAGCTACATCCTCAGCTCTTTTATTTTTTGAGATAGGATCTCACTAAGTTCCTTAGGGCCTAAGTTGCAATTCTAAGATCCTCCAAGATCCTTGAACTTGCAATCCTCCTGCTTTAGCCTCCCAAGTTGCTGGGATTACAGATGTGCACGACTATACCCAATGACAAGGTTAGTTTAAAAATTGTTGCTACAAAGATACTGTAATGATCAAGAGCTCCATAATAATCCAATTACATCTTCCTCCTACAGATGATACATAGAAACTTGACTGTGTACACTAAATAGAAAATTTAGTGTCCATAAAACATTGTTGATATGGTACTGCTAGAAAATAAAATGTTGTTACAATATTATTTCATATTTCCTGCCTTTGAGGTGATATATTGCAATAATTTTGTATGAGAAACAGCTGTTAAGCACTGAAAAGACATATGGTACCTATGGTAATGGCTGTTTTCTGCTATATGGTAATGAACTTTTTTAATAATATATTTTAAATCTCCTTCAGCAATCAAACATATTGATTTTAAATACTAAAATGAACCTCTTGCCTCTCTTAAAAAGTCCCTGAACTCCCAGCATGTTTCCATTCCTATAGACTTCTCAATGACTATTGGAAACAATTCTAAGATCCTCCAAGATCCTATCTCTAAATTCTTTTTGTTCTATAGGGCTAGAATTTGAGCAGTAACAGAGCTAATTTTTTTTTTTTAAAAGTTCTCTTTACCTATTTTGAAAAAGCGAGGCAGAAATTCAAATCCAGTCATCCATTGTTTTCTAGAGGTATGATATGAAAAATATTTTTAAACTTTTAAAAATATTTTAAAACTTATATTCCCTCTCTCGACATTAATAAGCATACAATATTGGCTGGCACAGACTATAGACTGATTCTTCTTTCTTGGCCTACATCTCTAACACACAACCAGGTACTCTTTTCTGATGAACTCCTTGGTCCCACCCACAGAGCTAGGCTGTAAGCCTAGCTTAAAAGGTCTTCAAGTCCAGTGGAAGCAGAAGAAATACTTCTTTGTGAGAGGTGAAACAGTACTCCAAGATTATTACTAGTATATTCCAAGGCTACACATAATCTGAGGCAGAAAGAGCAGTAGTAAGACAATGCTAACTCTTAAAATGTGAAAACTATTTTTTCTACCTTTGACAACTTTCAAGTATCTCAAAGGGTCTTCATCTCTGGAAATAATATATTTCTGACGCCTAGTATCTAAAGAATTTCCCATTATACCTGTTAAGTACTCTCTACAAAGCAATCTAGAGGTTGGTCAGTGTAATCCAATCCACAGTGCTTAAAGATTCGGCATGAATAAACTTCTGGACGTGGTACATGTAAGAGCTAAGTAAATCTTAACTTTTGACTTGAATTATAAAATAGGAGGCCTGACGTGGGTTGTAGGAACCCCATTAAGACACTGTTCTACTCTGACTAAGCAGTTACCAATTCTCATCATACTTTTTAAAAATTATTAATATATTTTAATTTTATATATGATGGCAGAACGCAACTGACACACTGTACACAAATGGAGCATAACTCCTCATTCCTCTGGTTGTACATGGTGTGAGTCACACAGATAGTGCAATGGTTCTAGTGGATTCTCATTTTGCTTGTTATTTTAAGTTTTCAAATGTTAATTACTCCTTCACTGAAACACTTGATGGCAGTATACTTAGGCTTGCTGTTTCTCAGTTAATCCATCAGGTTTCTTTTCATTTTAAAAAAATGTTGGAATTCCTCCAGGATGGAATCCCCTACCCCTGAAACTAATGGCTTTTTAGGACCAGCACAGAATTCTCCAAGGCTCCAAACTAACATATCCAACTCCTTATACAACCCATCCTTATGTGTCGCAGCTGCAGCAAAATAACTGGGGGGGGGGGGTGTGTGACGAACAACTTGTGTAGATTGATACAGCAGGAGTGGGAGCCTCCTTTTATTGTAGGACAACAGAGGTATTTATACATTTCACACAGCTTATCTTAATTAACATAAACTAGATACAGCAGTCAACCAATAAGAAATCTTACTTTTCCCCCAAAACCTCTGTGACCCTTGGAGAAAAGTTAGGTTATCAGTGAAGAATCAAATACTTCTCTCTCATGGCACTCATAACTATGAGTTTACTTTTTTGGGTTTAATTTTCAGATTACTTCACAAAAACACACAATGAAAGATAATTTCTTCTAACTTAAATTCTCCTACATTAAACTACTTTTATAATCTATCACCTGAAAGTCACTTCCAATGACGATTTTTTTTTTTTGGTGTGTACTGGGGATTGAACTCAGAGGCACATCCCCAGCCCTTTTTTGTATTTTTCATTTAGGACAGGGTCTCACTGAGTTGCTTATCTACTCGCTTTTGCTGAGGCTGGCTTTGAACTCACAATTCTCCTACCTCAGCCTCCCAAGCAGCTGGGATTACCTGCGTGCGTCACCCCGCCCGGCTCCAATGGGGATTTTAATACAAACGGCAGAATGCAATATTAGGGTAACTATACCCGTTTCAGAAATGAAAAAATCTTTATAAATGGCTTAGCCTACCTATAAAGAAAACAGTCTCTAGATTACAATTTGCACCCCCTTCACTCTACTTTTCTTGCAATTTTTACCTTCAATATTTTCCCCAAACACAGCTATCTCCAAAACAGTTGTAAAAATAGTTAAGCCTTTGACCTCAAACAGCTAGACTTTCCAAGTACACGCATTTGAACAGATTTTAATGTTTGAAAAGAGATGCTAACCAAAACCAGGCTATTCAACTTTAAACCTTCACATTCATGAGGAATTTCGTTTTACATTTCCCTTTCTCCCAACTTTAAAGTGCCCTCTCAATCTGTAAACAGGAAGTGATATGTTTAAACTACCACGCTTCCCCCTACCAGCCTACGAGGTCAGCCTCAGTCGTTCACCTAATACTCGCTGTAGGCGACCACTCCGTTACCTCTCCCGGGTTTTGTTTCTCTTCAACACCGCCCTGTTGCAGGGTCGAAAAATCTGTTTATAGGGAACCATTACAAGTGTATTTGCCACGCTGACATTACTGGGCAACGATAGTGCCAGAAATGAAGAGAGATCAGTTTCTACTTACTCCACAAAAGCCCGGGAGCAGAGGCAATGGATCTTACAGTCCTCCTCCCGCTCGTCAAGGAAGAGAAACATTTCGGCCACGTGGTTCCATTTCTCGCAGCACATTTTGTCCCTTCAAGGGTCTTCCTGACGCACGACACTCGGACTAGGCTTCTGGTTCGTTACCGGAGAACAAAAGGAGGCCTCCCGAGTCCGCTCGGGGTTGAGAAGCTAGGAACCGGCCCCGGGTTGGAGCAGCCTAGAGCTAGCGGAGGAGCCGCCACAGGAAGTTGCTCCGGGCGGCCACAGGAAAGGGCGGGGCGAAGGCGGTGTCACACCTAACTCGGCCCGGGCTTCCTCTTTACTGATTGCTTATGGGAAACCTGCTCTGCGAATCTGCCCTTCTCACTTCGCAGTTAAGCCACTGAGTTCCTTCTGCCGCTGGAAGGTGAAGGCGAGTTGCCCTTATCTTTCACTGTCTTAGGTGCGTCGGTCCCCCTTTGACTTCTCCAGGCTCCTCCAGCCCGGCGTCGCGTCTGTAGCGCGCGGCTGGAAGCGGCAAAGGGCGTGCGTCGGGTCTCCCCGGGCCTCTCCGGAAAGCCCCATCGGCGCGCTCGGCTTTCCGCCTTGTTGGGTGTTCGGCTCGGGCCCCTGGCTGACCGGAAGGAGAGGTCCTGTAGGGTCACTGTCAGTCCGTGTCCCCCGTCTTGCTCTCGAAAACCTCCGATTCAGCGCGTTTCGTCCAAATTTCGGTGGCTGGGCGAGGTGTCTTGAGCCTCATTAGAGATCTTCTTAGCTTGCCGGGTGACTTCCCTGATCCGGGAAGCCTGACCGAACCTCCTGTGTATGAAAGGTAGAGGAAAGTATGTGGCGACTGCAGGCCGCGTGGGTGCTGGTCAGGAGTGTTCGCGTCCCGAAGCAGGCTTGGAACCTTGGTTTATGCCCCTTTACTGCCCGTGTGACCTGGAACGTGCCTTAACCTTTCTGAACTTCATGTTGAAAATGGGGACTAGCAACAGTAACTACCTGATGGTCAGCTTGAAGGACTAAATGAAGCCATGTATATCAGGCTTTTTAATATGAGTCTGGCCAGACCTTATGGACGCCATGCACGTAGTCACTGGGGTTTGTAAGCCTGTTAAGCAGGTCTCAGCCTTCAAAGCTGCTAAATATCTTAATAAGAAACTGGAACAGTACTCTTGACTTTGAAAAAAAGAAAAAGTTGAGTGTAGTGTTCCTTGAGACTTCCTAGGCAGCCACCTTTCGAAGAAGAAAGTTCAAGCTTGAAAGTTGATTTTTCGGGTTATGAATGCCAAAATGATATTGGTGCTTCTTTAGAACTATGTATGAACTAGTTAAAATTCAGACATTTGAAATGGTTATTAGTATTTCGGTTACTCTTGTGAGTGGGTGGAAATAGAAGACTAGTTTTCAAAGGAAATGTTTATTCCTGCATCCTTAACTGTTGCCACACTTTGAGGGCAGAGATATGCCGAATTTTGCCATTTAAGAAGGCCAAAGAAGTAGCATTTTTTTAGTATACACATGTGAAAACATCTAGCATTTACCTTTCTCTGCCTAATAGTTCACTGAACATAATGTCCTCCAATTTCCTCCACGTTGCTGCAAATAACAGAATTTCATTCTTTTTTTTTTATGACGAATTGTGTGTAGATATGCCACAATATTTTTGTCCACTCATTTTTTGATGGACATCTAGGTTGATTCCATATCTTAGCTATAGTGAACAGTGCTGCAGTTAATCATGGAGTGCAGGTGACTGACTCTTCTACATACTGATTTCACTTCTTTTGGATATATACTCAGTAGTGGGTCTGTTGAATCATAATTCTATTTCTAGATTTTTGAGGCGCCTCTAATAATATTTTCCATAATGGCTAAGCTAACTTACATTACAGCTAACAGTGTATGAGAGTTCTCCTTTCTCTGCATCCCTGCCAGCATTCATTATTTTGGTTTAGTTGTTCTTGCTTAGAAATGCTTTAGCTGTTGTAAGTTTTTTGGTTCCATATGAGTTTTGGGATTGTTTTTTTCTAGTTCTGTGAAGAATGCCATTGATATTTTGGTAGGGATTGCTTTGAATCTGATGATCATTTTGGGCAGAATGGACATATTAACACTGTTCTTTCCACCCATGAAGAGGGCATGTCTTTCCATGTTTTGCATCCTCTTTAATTTCTTTCATAATTGTTTTTTAATTTTTATTGTAGAGATTATTCACTTCCTTGGTTAAATTTATTCCTAGGTTTTGTTTTGTTATTGTAATTATTGTGAATGGAATTGATTTTTTTCTCAGTAGTTTTATTTTTAGTGTATTATTTAAAAAAAGCAATTGACTTTAGTGTGTTGATTTTATGTCCTGCCACCTTACTGAGTTTATCAGTTCAAAAAAATTTTTGATGTATTTTAAAGAGAGGATTGGTGCTTGTCAAGAGTGTGTCCCTGGGTCTGACCCCCAGCACCAGGGAAAGGGAGAGGAGGCAGGAGAGGTTTGGGTTTGCCAGATATCTTGACTGAAATATTAGATAAACTATAGCTTCATTCATATAACTTCTGAAGTTTAAGAGGTTGTCTAATGGACTTACGTAAAAGTGAGATAAGTATGAGAGACCTTTTTAGTAGTTATGGATGGTTTTGAATATGGAATGGGGCACTCTTGTGTGTGATTTTTAAAAAAAATTTTAAATTTTTTTAGAAATGTTAAAATCAAAATTGGGACTGGGTGACCATTTGTGGAAGGGATTCTTATATGTGGCACTGTTAAAAGTCTACTTGATTTTGTGTAGGTTTCCATGTAATCCTTCTTTGAGCCCTACCTGTTCTGTTTGTCTTCCCTTTTCTGTGCTCATTATGTATGCTAAGTAAGGATGTGATTAAAAGGAGAAGAGGGATACTGTAGTTCCCCTTTTCCCATGGTTTTACTTTCTGCAGTTTCCGTCTTTGGTCATCCCCAGTCCACAAACATTAAGTGGAAGATGCTTGAAATAAACAAATTAAAATTTTTAAATTGTATACTGTTAGGAGCAGCATAATGAAATCTTGTGCTGTTCTTCTCCATTCTTCTTGGATGTGAATCATCCCTTTGTCCAGTGTATATGCTACCTGTCCATTAGTCACTCAGTAAGTACTGCCTCAGTTCTGAGATTAAGAATCACAGTATTATATCCACATGTGATGGTGTACACCTATAATTCCAACTACTCTCTGGAGGCTGAGGCAGGAGGATTACAAGTTCTAGGCTGGCCTCAGCAACTTAAGGAGGCCCTGTCTCAAAATAGAAAAATAAAGAGGGCTGGGATATAGCTTGGTGGTAGAGCATTCCTGGGTTCAATCTTCAGTACCACACACACACACACACACACACACACACACACACACACGTTGTGATAGTGCAATGATTGTGTTCAAATAACCCCTAATTGTCTTTACAATGACCCCCAGAATACAATAGTGTACTGGAAATTTGGATATGCTAAAGAGAAGCTGTGACATGACTCCTTTAAATGAAAAGGTAGAAGTGCTCAATTTCATCATAGATATGTATGTATAGGAAAAAAACAGTATATAGGTTGTTTCCTTTATCTGAAATTCTTGATGCTAAGTGTTTTATATTTTGGATTTTTTTGGATTTTGGAAATTTGTATGAACATAATGAGACATCTTGCTGATGGTACCAAAGTCTGAATACAAAATTAACTTAGGTTTCATACACATTATACATATAGCCTTAAGGTAATTTTACACAGTATTTTAAATGCACCTGCGTTTTTACTGTGCCCTTTTACATAAGGTCAAGTATGGAATTTTCCACTTGTTGGTGCTCAAGAAGTTTGATTTTTAAAACTATATTTATTTTTATGTGGTGCTGAGGATCAAACCTAGTGCCTTACACTTGAGAGGCTGGCATTCTACCACTGAGCCATGCTATTTTACATTCCAGTCAGCAATGTATGAAATTTCTGATTTCTCTACATTTTCATCAACACTTAATATTTCCATTCTTTTTATTGTTGCTGTATTTTTTTAATTTCATTTTTTTCTGAGTTTCTAACTCACTGCCTTGTACATGGTAGGCAAGCAGCACTCTGCTATAGCCCTAGCTCCTATCATTTTTGAAAGTATTGAATTTGATATGTTGCATTACAAATGTGCAAACACAGATGAATTATAATTATAGTGACTCAGCTCTTTAGGTGGATTGGTTAGAATATGATATACATAAAGCCCAGGTTGAGGTCTTAATGTATGTTATGTTCATCTCCTGTTAATGTAACAGGCCTAGGTTTCTCATAAGTAAATGCTATTGGTTATAAGGAAATTAGACTAAATCCTCAATAGCTGGAAGAGTCCTCAAAATATGTGTATTATTAATAAAGACAATTATATGTTGTCTTGAGTGTATGTCTGTTCTTTTCTCTGTTCCTTTCTTTCATTTATTTATTTCCTGCCTCAGCCACAATGGATATGAGATAATTTTCATTAAAGTTATGTAATATGGAATAATGGTAAAATATCGCTAAGAATAGAATCAGAACCAGAGAAAATATGAATGGAGAGAGGAAATCTTGTGTAGGGATTATGATTTGTCAACTTATCTGGTAAAGTTAGTAAAGAGAGATAGTCAATTACTCATTCTGACTTTTTCAGAAGAAGTGAATCTTTTTATAGCTCGGTTAAAATAAATTCTTAGGTGGAGCTTTGTATAGTGGCACTAAACAATTGTCCATAGCAAACATCGGTAGCATGACTATAATTCTTAATTGTGACATACTATTTTGGGACTATAATCATTTTCGTTAAACATTTGTAAATATCTTGTGCTATTTATTTTATGGAAATTCAACTCAAGGTATTAATGATTGTCTTTTTATATACATATCTATACATACTATAGATATGTACATAACGGAGAAGATACGTACATATGAGAAGATACATTTTTGGTATTAACAGAGAGAGAGATGCTAGAAATTGAACCGAAGGCATTGCTTATGAAAGGTGCTGTTCCCTCATGCTACATCCGCAGCCCAATCTTTTTCTTTAGTCACATATTTCTTCCATTTGCTTACTGTTTTTCAGAATATATACACTGAAGCTTGGGAAAAGATATTTATGTAATTTCTGGTAAGTTAAATGACCATTTTAGAGCTGAATTCATAGAATAATTGTACAGCTGTATTTTTAAGCATTTAATATTTAAAAAAATTTAATGACTATAAGATAAAAGGCAATATTGGTAATTTTTTATTATATAATGTCAAAAGAATAGATAGCTTTTCTGTGAACCTGTTTCTTTATAAAAGACAGTATCCAAAAATGTATGTCATCATTTTCTAAAAAATTTGGTTATTTTTTACCAAATTAACTATTAATGTTTTCTTTTGTAAAGAACATATTTAATTTCAACATAATCTTGTATAAGACCTAAATGTTCAATATCTGTATTTGAGATATGATCCAATTATGAAAAATGAATGAAATCTAAAATTTCATACATCAGTTTTTTCTTCTTTCACTTACAGCTTGCAAGTTATTTCAAAAGCTAAACCCAACACATTCATGAGTAAACAGTTGAAACCTTATCATTTTCACATGTAAACTTGCAACAAAGTTAAGCATTAATCATCTACTTATTTTTGGTATTATGAAATGACTAGATATGCTACTTATGTAGACTCCAACATTTAACTTTGTATCTCTGAAGAGAATAACTATGAATTATTTTTCCTTCTAGTGTCAAAATTAAAGACCTGCTATGGCAATGAAGAAAGAGATTGAATTTGTCATTTTCACCTAAAGAAAAATGATAGACAAAAATCAAACCTGTGCTTCAGGACAGGATTCTATACCCTATATGACCTGTCTGATCCACATACTCGAAGAATGGTTTGGTGTGGAGCAATTGGAGGACTATTTGAATTTTGCAAACCATCTCTTGTGGGTTTTTACACCACTGATTCTTTTAATACTTCCTTATTTTACTATCTTTCTTCTCTATCTTACTATTATTTTCTTACACATTTATAAGAGGAAAAATGTATTAAAAGAAGCTTATTCTCATAATTTATGGGACGGTGCAAGGAAAACAGTGGCAACTCTGTGGGATGGACATGCAGCAGTTTGGCATGGTAAGCAAGAATGTTTTGATTTCTATGTGTTGCTGTCTCTGTGGCACTGAACCTATTTTATCATTCTGTTTTATTAATTGAGAAGATACTAATAAAAATAATGGAAGTGATATTCCTTGTTATCTGTTTGCTTGCATTGTGCACATGTGTGGTTTTCTTAAAATGACTTTCCCCAAACAGGCTAAGAGAGGTTATTTGTCATGGTACACTAGGAAGCAGAGCACAATGTAACCTCTGACATCCAGCTATAAGTCTTGTGCTCTGTGTCTTATAGTAAATCTGTCCAGGTTTGGGGATCCAGGGTCAAAAGTCACAGTGTACAGCAAGTTTGCAAACAGGAACTATATACCTTTGATATTTTGAGTTCTTAATGTTTCTTTATTACTATTAAAGTCCCTGCTTGTCAGTAGGAGCTCTTATACACTCTCATTGTTTTTCATAAGGCAAAATGATATTTCATCAATGTACACATGCTTGTCTACAGAGGCTATATCTGTGTGGACTGTTATTGTTCACTGAGTTTAAAACAGTAATTAGGAAATTTAGTGGCATCATTTATACTACTTGCTGGAAACATCCCCCTCCCACACATATAAACCCTTATATTTCAAGATCATATAGAGTAAGACATTTCAATTTATTTATATTCCAGGAGACATGGTTTGATTTAGTAGATTTAAGCAGGAAATTTATTTTGTAGCAAAATGTATAATTTTAAGATATTTTTAGGTATTGGAGGAAATATTTAATTCTTAATCAGCTTAAATCTTTTATTATTGGTAGCTTAACATTTTATTAGGAGAAGTTATACTTCTTAAAATATTGATTTTCTTTACCCTATTTTTTAGTAACATGAATAAAAGGCATTTATGTGCACATTTAGATTTTGTAAATTGCTGTCAAGTCAATTTTAATTATACTTTTAAAAGAATCTTTCATTTTTTAATAACAATATACATTGCAAAAACGTAGTGATACTGAAAAATACAAAGAAAAAGCAATCACCTAGCATTTACCATGCAAATGAGTTCTATTAAAAATGTTGGTATGCCTGTCATTTTAAAAAATGTCTTTATTATTGTTATATGCATGGCAGATTAATATTTTTCATGTCACTAAGCCTTCTCATAAATATTATTTTTAATGGCTTCATGGAATTCTGTAAATCCTATAATTATTTAGTTACCTATCATTAAACAGTAATTTGTTTGTAATTATTATTATTTTTAATATTCTTATATATTAATTATTTTCATTTTAATTATCACATAAATATCTTTGTATAAAATCTTTCCATTGTTTTTTATTATGAAGTTATATTTTTGTCCTGAGACTGAGTGTAATGTAAAATGTAGTGTAATGTAAAAATCTACGATTTTTCAAGATTTTGTGATTCTTATGTGTTGTGTAGCATATGGCTATACTATGTGGAGGAACATTAGTTTGATGTTTCTTAAATGTCTCCATTTCTAGGTAGTTTACTTGGTGATAGGCAGTGAACTCCTTTTCCTACAGTCTTATAATACTCTTTAAACTAAAAACTTTGGACCCATTTTTTAAAAAGCTTTATTCCCAGAATATATGAAAAATGTTTTAAAATGCTGGACTCTTAATGTTTAATGATTTCCCCCTGAAAATTAATAAAGAAGAGTCCTCAATAAATATCTATTTTTGAGAAAATTAAAATCTGTGTATTTTGGTACAACTGTCAAAGTAATGAGAATCATAACGTTTGCTTTAGGAAAATAAGGAACATTTTCTCTTTGAGATATTTACTCATTTGTTTAATCTTAGGTATATGTTATTGTGGTTTTCATTTTTGTTTTACAAGGGAGTTTATTCATTGTCTAAAAATAATGTTTATGCTTACTTACTTCCAGTGTAACTTATTCAATTCGTTGGCAATAGAAAAATTTTGGAAAATGTAGGTATTTGACTGAAGAGGTAGTCTGAATATATGACTTGTTACTTATAATACACGGATACTGGTTTTTAAAAAATCGACCAATATAACACAAACCCTAACTTTCTTTACTGCATATTTTGTTATTTTTAAAGAATTGGACACATTTTATTCACTAAAAGTGTCCTATAGATTAAACCATAGGCAATAAAGGTTTTTATAGGAAAATTAAATTGAGATATCAAGAAGACATCCTGTCTGTACTTCTGTTGGATAAAAATTTTGTTTCACCTGTTTGTCATTTATGCAACTAGGCTTTCCCAATTTATTGGCTGTCTAATACTTGGGAAAAATTTTGGAAAATGTAGGCATTTGACTAAAGAGGTAGTCTGACCATATGACTTATAATTTACCTTTATTTCCTTCTCTCCCCTTCCTTTTTTTCCCCTTTACTCTCCTCCTCTCCCCTTCTACAATAATTATGAGTTTTTAAAAATTGCATTTAGAAAATACAGAATTACAGAAAAATTGCCATAACAGTATCAGGAGTTTCCATATATACTTCACCCAGTTTCCTTGAAAGTTAGTATCTTTATATAAGCTTCATAAATTACTATTAAATTATAGTTTTTACTCCTGTTTTGTTTTATTTATGGTGCTGGGGGTTGTACTGAAAGCCTTATGCATCAAAGCAGGTGGTGGCCTACTAAGCTATATTTCTATCTTTACTCAAATTTTAAACTTTCTTTTAAGTGTTCCTTTTTTAGGATCTCTTGTTGCATTTAGTTGTCATATCTTCTCCAGTCTCTGGCAGTTTCAGTAGGTTTTTTTTTTTTTTTTTTTTTTTTGGTCTTTCATGACCTTGGCACCTTGTTTACTTGTTTTGGCACTGGTTAGTTGCTTTAGACTTTCTCTCGTTTGAATTTGATGTTTTTTATAGTTAGATTGAGTTTGTGAATTTTTGACAATAATACCACACAAATGATGCTGGGTACTTCTCAGTGCCTTATATTACAGGAGTTATGATGTAACTGGTTATTATAACTTCAATCACTTGTTCAAGAAGATATCTGCCAGGTTTCTATATTATAAAGTTTCTTCTTTTTTCTTTGTAATTGATAAAGATTTGAGGAAGCTACTTTAACTTTTTCAAAAAGGATATTTTTCTGAATCTCAATTGGTTACAAAGATTCAGTGACATTTCATGTAAAATGTTAGCATAATTTGTTATATACAAAATTTCAATAAACATTAACTGTCATAATTATAAAGCACCTTTCTCTGATAATTTGGAAGGCAGTAGAATACGAACCCCTTGTCTCTTGATCATTATTTAGTTCAACTTAGCATATTTAATGAGTCCCTAAGATATTAAAAATACAGTTTTAGGGTATCAGATTTTTACAGTTATTCCTGGTAAGGAAGGTATTTTGCTATCTAGTATGCATACATGTGTATATACTGTTTTATGGAAAGTATATATGCTTTCTATATATAATGTATTATGTTTTCTGTTCTTTTTTAATAAGAAAAATGTTGATGATAACTCGCCAGAGTTATATCACACTGGAATAAGTTTATTTCATAGGTCATAATCAGCAATTGAAAATCATAGGTCTAGTTTATCATGTACATACCTGTGGTATGGAGCAAGAATACAGACTTTGGAGTTGGGCAAATGTAGGTTTATATCCTGGTCCCTCTGTGTGACCTTGGATAATTTATTTTCTTTTCCTACAGGACAAAAGTAAAAGGATTATTCACAGAGGAGATAGCCTTTGAACAAGGCTTTGAAGAATGAATAGTACCAATAAAGTAACTATTTCTTACCACTGTACTTACAGACTAAATGAAATGGCCAGTGCTATAAGAAAATAGAAATGATCAAAATTGCTTCAAAAAGAAGAGAGAAACAAAATAGACCAAGAATCATAAAAGAAATTAAAACAGTATCCAAAGTTATCTTTCTCCTCCCTCCACAAAGGGCCCAGAGTACACAAGTTCCACTATTTCAAGAAATTAATCATGTCAATCTTAAAAGCAAACTGTAGTTCCAATAATAGGGAACTTTACAAGGATGCTGTTACCACTAGTATTTAATATTGTTGAGGCAGAGGCTAGAAGTAGGAAGTGTAAACAATTAGAAAATAAGAGACACTCGAAAGAAGCAGATTTAGTATTAATAAGATAGTTAACCAAGGGATTTAGTGGCCCATAAAATTAAGTGGCCCATATGTCGTCAATAGTCATTTTAAAAATGGTTATCTTAATGGGGCTGGAGATGTGGCTCAAGCAGTAGCGTGCTCGCCTGGCATGCACGGGGCACCGGGTTCGATTCTCAGTACCACATAAAAATAAAAATAAAGATGTTGTGTCTAACGAGAAACTAAAAAAATAAATATTAAAAAATTCTCTCTTTAAAAAAATGGTTATCTTAAACCATTAATTTTTGCTAGACAGGAAATATTCTATTTAAGGGCTAATTCTAACAAAACATTTGAGAACTGTGTGGAGAAACTGTGTATGTGGAACTCACAAAGAACTGAATGGATAGAAAGTCTCTACATATTCCAAATTCATCTATTAATTTCTTGCAATTCCAAATGATTTTTTCATCCAACTTATAAAATTTGTATGGAAGAATAAATAGGAATAACCAACACCAACTTGAGAAAACAAAAGTATTTTCCTCCTCATGGAAAAAACATTAACATTATTTATCCTGATTAAAATTGTGGTATTGGTACAGGGAAAGAATCATCATTTATAAATCAAACAGATTAAAGAGTTCAGAAATGTGAATTTGGTAAGTGATAAAAGTGGTATTTCAGACCAGTAGGAAGAGTTACAGGAAAGTATTTGATAATTTTCAAGTAGGGAAGATCTAAGACAGAAAAGTAAAAGCTCTTTTAAAAAGAAGAGCAAGGATAGTGGAAGGAGACGGTTATCATTATACAAAATTCATGTATGAAAATGTGAATTTGGTGTCAACATACCTTATATACAAACAGAGATTTGATAAATTGTGGTATAAAGGTGTATTAAGAATTGCAATGCAAAAAAATTATGAATGTAATGCACTCCTCTATTGTGATGTATGTAAGAAACAATAAAAAAAAAGACATAGTAAACTAAATGCAGTACAGGTCAGCACAACTTATTTTCAATAAGCCTTAGAAGATAAATTAGAAAAAAAAAATCAACTTAAAAATAGCCTAAGGGGGGCTGGGGTTGTGACTCAGTGGTAGAGCGCTGGCCTAGCACATGCAAGGTGCTGGGTTCGATCCTCAGCACCACATAAAAATAAATATAAATAAAATGTAGGTATTGTGTTCAACTACAACTAAAAATATTTTTTAAAAAGAGTTTGAAATTTTCTTTAAAAAATAGCCATAATTATACTCAGTAGATACCATTTGTTAAACAGAGCAGCAAATAAAATGCAGAGTGTATTCAGAGCTAGAAGATGAAATTATTTGTGGATGAGAAGTATACTGAATGACCAATCTGAAAAGGTAGACAAAGCTAGGGTTTTGTTTGTTTGTTTTTTAATACCAGGGATTGAACTCAGGGGCATTCAATCACTAAGCCACATTCCCAGCCCTATTTTTTGTATTTTATTTAGAGACAGGGTCTCACTGAATTGTTTAGCAACTCGCCATTGCTGAGGCTGGCTTTGAACTCTTGATCTTCCTGAGCTGCTGGGATTACAGGTGTGTGCTACCACACCCTAGGAAGCTAGGGGTTTTGAAGGATGTTGAATCTGTGCTCAGGAATTTGGACTATTTTGTAGGAAGTTTAGTTCTAATTGCTTTTCTGAGGAAGATCCAGAAGGGCAACCTCACCATTAAATTATCATAATGTGTAGGTGTATAGGCTTAAAATGAATTTCTGATGGCAAATTTAAAAGGGATTTATCTCTTAGGAGAAGGTTATCATTATCTGAATTCATGATACTGCTGTCTAAAGCCAAAAGGCAGTTAACTCGCTTAGATAATAAATCTTTGCCATTAGAAGATACCTGAGTTTCATACTACTGACCTTCATATCCTTTCCAGTAAGCTAATCCACATGAGAAAACCAGAAAATCAGGTTGATGCCTGGTAAGCATGGTATCAGAGCAGAGAAGAAATAAATTTATATTTAATGATATCAAATAAAAGAGCTACATAGAGAATATGGCTATTCTTATTCATGGGACCCAGAGGACTCAAAATCTCCAGATTGATTGTCCCTTCTTGGAAGTGACAATAATTATCTTTGGGACTGCCTTCTCTGAGATTCCATTGCTCATCAAATCCCCCTAAGTTTGGTGTACTGCAGGTGGGAGCTGATGGAACTACATTTTGAAACTGATATTGAGAAAGAAGGCGATAGATTTGAGTCTTTGGAGATAAAATGCCCAGAACCTGGTGACTAGGTAGAGTCTGAGCTGTACAGTTAGGGAAACAGGGGGCATGAAATGCTCCAATTAAAGCAACCACAGGAACAGAAGCACAAAAGTGGGAAAGTATATTCAGGGAGCTACAGTTAGTTCATTTGATACATGAATCATCTAATGTCACTCAATAAGCTGCTGGGATCTAAAAGGCCTTGAGAAGTTTGCACTGCAGTAGTAATCCACTGATAATTTCTGGGAAGAGAATGGTATGATCATATCTGTGCTTTAAAGTGACTTACTTAATGTTGGGACTTAATGCTTAGTGGCACTGTGGCAAACTATTGTTTTTCATTAATTGATTATTTGAATTTGATTTCAACTAGGTGATTTGGCAAATAGTTATGCAAATAGATCATTTATTTCATATTTTTAAATGTTCTGTAAGCCAGAGAGAACCTCAGGAATATTCTGTATAGAATATCCTTCAATAGAGTATTTTATTTCTCAGAAAATTTCTCCAGATGTATAGTTGATCCTTTTGGTAAGTTCATACAACCTCAGTAATTGAATTACTTGAATTAGAATTAAGAAATTAGAAAGAAAATAAGTGAACAATACTTGGAAAAAATGTTAAGTGAATGAATAAAAACAATTATATTCCCTTCTGTGGAAAAATCATATAAGATCAAAAGTATTATAGAATATATAAGGTTCAAAAAATATTCCAACTTAACACAATATTAGAATTTAAAACCAGTATAAATTTTTAATCAGCTTAAAATTGGAATCACAGCTCTGAACTATCAAACATACTTTCTTAAAAGACTTGCTTCTTTAGCTTTATGGTACTCAAAAAGTTGAGTTTGTAGACACCTGGCTTTTTCTTATTAGGGAGCTAGTGATGTTCTCTGTGATTACAGAGTTACTAATTCTCATTTTCTCCTTTTCTGTATTTTTAATCCATCTCCTATCAGTGAGAACCCTGGCTCCCCTTATACTTAATCTGTTTATTCATTTGATCAATCCCCCTCTGTGTAACCTATCTTCTGTCATTGCCACCATTTTTAACACTCTTAGATATTCTCTTACTCTGCTTCAGTCAGAAATCCCAGGCCAAGTCACGAACCACACTGCACAGTGCCCTTCTTTATCTGCTCAGGCCATGTTGCCCTACACCAGGCCATCCCTCCTACACAGACACTTCCTCAGCCCACTCATCTCTGACCCCCTCATACCTTGTCACCTGGCTCTGACTTACGTGCTTGCAGCACCTTGGTTCCCCTTCTTTTTCTACTCAACCTTATCACCTTGTGCCAGGCTCTTTCTGCATTGGTGTTGTCATGACTCTGGATTGGTGTCCTGTCCGCTCTGTGGATGCCTCCCTCACTATGCATTACTCCAGCCCTTGTTCTGGGCCACCTCTCCATGCCAGTGCACACTCATCCTGCCCCACTTTATGGCTCTAGAACTGGAAGCAATAAAGGGAAAGGGAAAGAGGGAATAAAAAGGGAAATGGCAAGAGAACCATTAAGAATACTAAGCTTTTGAATTATTGACTATCCTTTAGTACAGATAAACTAATAAATATATTTTAAGTATTTGCATTTTGTCTTTTGAACAGGTTATGAAGTTCATGGGATGGAAAAAATACCAAAAGAAGGACCAGCACTTATAATTTTTTATCATGGAGCTATTCCCATAGATTTTTACTACTTTATGGCTAAAATTTTTATTCACAAAGGCAGAACTTGCCGAGTAGTGGCTGATCACTTTGTCTTTAAAATTCCAGGTAAATTTGTCACTGTAGAAAATTATAGAAAGATATTTAGTCATCATGATTAAATTATATGGCCGTCTATCTTTGAGGTCTTTAGTATCATTTACATGGCAGTCTGTCTTTGAAGTCTTTAGTATCATTTGGAAAAGACTTTTGCCTTCTGGCCTCAAACGCCTGTTTTTAGGTGATCTTCTTGCCTTAGCCTCCCAAGTTGCTGGAACTATAGGTATGTGCCACTGTGTAAGGCTTAAATTTTGAAATTTATTTTAATTTTTGGTGCTCAGGAATCAAATCCAGGGCATTGTGTGTGCTAGGCAAGTGCCTTGCCAGTGAGCTGTAGCAAGGCCAAATACTGAATTTTATATTCTGATTTTTGCAAAAGCAGTGTAAATTTTGATGTAGAAGGTAGTTATTTTTCGTATGATGATTTTTTTTCATGAGATGTTGATTTTTTTGTTTAATTTTACTGTAAGGGGTTAATAGCTTTCAATTTGATAGCAGATCAAAGTTATAAAAAAAATTAGCCAAGATATATGTTGTCTTCATCATTTTGCTACCCTAAAGAATATATGTGTTTTGTCTCCTATTACACAGTTTGCCTAGATTTAAACTCTAAGATTGAAGACTATATTCTTTTTAATGTGTTCATAAAGTCTTAGTGCCTTTTTAAAGAGATTAATTAGCCAAATGGCTTCAAACACTAGAGTTTTAAAAAGATTCTTGAATGAATTAATTTTGATGAATCTTTTGTTCTGTTACTAAATCATTGGAAACAAGTCAGGAATGTTGATTGCTTGTTCTGAACTAATAAAAATAAAGCTTATCTATCAACCAGACAGACACAAACTTGGTAGTCAATTAAGTAATGATCTACTTCAGTACTTTTCATAACACGTTAGTGCTTTGGGTATCATTATATCACTAAACACTCACTTCTACTTTGTATATAAGTTAAGCTGAAGATTTTCCATTTAAAAGTAATATTGCCACCTAATAATTTTAGGAATTGGAAAACAAAGAACATTATTATAATCTTACCATTCTAGTATAGCCAGTTATTTGATTTACTTCATTTTTAATTTACCTATTTTTGTGTTTTACAAACAATTTTGTGGGTTTTCTGGAGAAGTTTTCATGTAAGCATCAACATTTTGCTGATTTATAAGGAGCAGTTGATGTTATGACTAATATGTGTACTTTACTATTTTTCATTTATCAAACATTAGGTTACTTCCATTTTTTCCCCTTTTTGTAAAGTGAATATTTTTAGCATTGGCTTTTCAAATAATTTTCTTCTTTTTTGATCCTGTAACATCTTGACATTGATTTACTTTATGTCCATCATTGCTTTCTGAAGGTATAAAATCATTATAATTCTTAGTACAAGAGAGATTTTCTGTCTTGTAATTTTTGAAACCTCCCTTATTCCTTGTTTTATTATGGAGAATGCATCTAGTTAAATCAGTGAGTTTTTAATGTAATGTTGGATGGAAATTATTTAAATCTTAATGATTTATAATCTTGTTTCAGTCCTTTAAATGAGAAATTTGGTTAGTCGGCACAATTTTTAGGGACCATTCTTATTTCTGTGTCAAAAAGTGACGCAGGTATATTAACAGTGTTCTAAAGTTCCAACATAAGATTTTATTAAAATATTTAATTGCTGGCAGGATTATGTCCTTTATTCATAAATAATTATAATTTGAAAAGCTGTGCAATATTAAAACTTATAATTAGTTGTTCTTGAATCAAACACCTTCACTTTATTAAAAAAACTATTAATAATGTTTACTATTATTAATTATTTAAAAATTTATTTGTAAGATTAGCCTCACCTGACTTTTAATTTCAATAGATTTGATTATAATCTTGCCTGTTTGGGTAGAGCTAAGCATAGTCAGATTCATATTGTCTCAAGTGATTTTTAAAAGAATTAACATTAACCCCTAAAGGGTTAATGAGAGATTAGATTTGTAATTGCTAGTGGGATATTATTTCTGATTGCCCTAATAAATATTTTAGAGTGTTTTGGGCATGATATGCAATGGAAGAAGTTTGGGGACAGACATACTCAAATGGGACTCTCTCTCCTGGCACTTATTAGCTGTGTGCTACGGAATATCTGAGCTCAGATTTCCTCATCTGTAAAACAGAAGAATCCCTGTTTACCAAGATTGCTGTGAGTTTTAAGAGTTTGAATATGTAAAGTAGCCAGAATAGTAGGTGATCAGTAGAAAGTAATCAGTAGTTATGTTATTAGTAAGATATATCTATTACTACATAAATAATATAAATCTTATGTTAACCTTAACAGTTATTAATTTTAGAAAATAAAAAAAGTTACTGATATAAATATAGATAGTCTCATACGTGTGAAGATATTTGCTCTTGGAAGAATTGAACAAAAATGTATTTAAGATCTCATCTTTCTTACAGGGTTTAGTTTATTACTTGATGTATTTTGTGCTCTACACGGACCAAGAGAAAAATGTGTTGAAATTCTGAAGAGTGGTCACTTGTTAGCTATTTCACCAGGTGGAGTTCGAGAAGCCCTATTTAGTGATGAAACTTACAACATCGTATGGGGTAATCGAAAAGGCTTTGCTCAGGTTGCAATTGATGCAAAAGTGGTGAGTTGTGCAAAATTAATTATTCAACTAAACTTAGTTAAATTTAAAATAAATGCTTAGTAAGCCAAAGTATATAAGAATATACCCCCTTTTATTACATAGCTTAAAATTATTATATGTAACATTTTAAAATGTGTCAGTAGAGAAATATTCTTTGTGCATAGAAAGCCATCTTACATAAAAAATGACTCTTGAAATTTTGCAAATATCCAGCAAGGTTTTATTTTACATTTAAAATTCATCTTCTTTTCATCATATTTGTAATTTTGTACAAATAATTTCATCATTCCTTTAATTATGCTTTTTTTTTTCACTAGTTTAATCAGTTCAATTCTGTGTATGTTTTAAACCTTTGGTACTTTTGATGTGACTGAATTGGTATATTTCAGGAGTGGTTGTTAGTTTGGTAATCTTATCTTTGACCATTTCTTACAAGCAGACTGAAATAATCTGTGACTTTATCATTTTTCATCAGCTCTCTTATAAAGATAATAAACAGATATTGGTCTAATTTGGATACTAATTAAAGATTTCCTATGAGAATTTGTCAGTAAAATTAAGGATTCCTCTGAGATTCAATAAATTAATCTACTTAACAGACTGAATAATGTGAATGCCATTTTGTGCTTTTCTTTTGCCTTTGGAAAGTATTCCTTAGCACTTTGAGCTCCATATTGTTATTATATTCTTAGAAAACACTTATGTATTACTTATGAAATGTTTCTCCTTTGCTTCTGTTAATTTTTATTTTAGATTGTCAGCAAAAGAAGTCAACAATACTTTAGATAGGGTATTAATTATTTTTCCAGGCCTATTAGAGACTGTTGCTAATAACTTTCACATTTCAGATTTTTTGTGTTCCCATTAGTGTGGCATAAAATGACCATAAAATGACCCTTAGCTTGATTGCCCATCTTGCAAATATGGACTGTTGATTTAAAAAGAGATTATAAAGGATTCATTTTTTTTGTAACCAAAGAGTAATATTTGAAGAAGAATAAATGCTTTTATGTCTTAATTGCAAAGTTCCCAGTGAAATAAAATGCTTTGAGCTCTTTTCTATATATATAATTCCTAGAAATTACTGCTATAATGCTTTATGAGTATGATCTTAGTTTGGGGTGAATGTACTTGCCAAAGTATTTAAATAACACAAAAATTTAAATACTACTTCCTTACAGTAGATTATAAGCTCCTTGAGGACTAGGATTTTGTATTCAAATTCTTAGTATAGAGACTAGCTTTGAGTAGGCTTTTAAGTATTTGAATTTAGAATCAGAATTAGTATTTGAATTTAGAATAGGATTTGAGTTTTTTTAAAAAGACAGTATTAAACACTACTAGTAGAAAATAGCCTTTTGAATTTAACTTTATGTTAAATAATGTCAATAATATAGAAAATTAATTTTTAGCACATAACACTATTTTCCAGAATGTTTAAAGTTCTGATGCAGGAAATAAAAACCTAGCCTGTATAAATAACTTGGAATACAAAAGATTACAAAAGTTGTACAAAAATTAAGGAAAATCAATGCAATGCATATTAAAGCAATAATAAAAACTAAAAAGCTAATTAAACTAAAACTTAAAGATGATTGACTTTTTAAGTTTATATTTTGAAAATATATGTCTTCATATGTTTAAAGATGATACAAATCAAGTTGAAATCATAAATTCATCATGGAATTCTAATTCTTCTTAAGTTTATACTTTTAAGCAACATATTGCTTTGAAGAAGGCCTGAAAGAAATGATAACAAAGAAAATAATTCTTTTTCCAATCCATAAGTTTCTAGGTAGTCAATTAAGATAATCCAGTTGATTAAGATTTTGTATAAAGATTTCAGATATTTTATGAAAGAACTTTCTATTAGTTTAAAAACAAACAAATCTTTAATGCTTTGGATTTACAAAATAACATTGTTAGCTTAATAAATATTGTGGCATCCCAACATTTTATAGCACTTGTAAAGGCTTTTTCTTGGTACTCCTGTATGGAAGGAGGTGACGTATATAATTATTCCAATGTTACAGATGAGGAGACTCAGGCACAGACAGATGGAGGGATGGAAGGGATCTGGTCACAACAAGGCAGCAGCAGAGCAGAACACACAGTTCAGGACTCAAGGCAACGGTGCTGTTGCCATCTCTGACTACATTGCACAGTGAGTCTGCGGACATCTGAGATTGAAGGGGTCTTCCAGATCTGTGAGGGAAATCTTTCAGTAATGTATGTATGACACAAGTATCCCATCTGGAAAATCCCTTTATAGGCCTCAAAAAATTATCATAAACTGTGAGTAAAGACTATTGTTGCAGGCTTAACTACATTTAAAATTAAATACATTATGACATACTGGCTGAGGGTGTAGCTCAGTGGTAGAACACTAGCATGTGTGAGGCCCTGGGTTTGATCCCCAGCAGTGTAAAAAATAAAAAATAAAATGTTAATTGTGACATTCTTTACAAGTCAAGAGGAAAAAATCTAGATTGTATGCAGTTCATAAAATATTAGTAGAAAATATGTAAAGTTCATTTGAAAGCAACAGACTTTTAATATGTAATATAAGTCACTTATTTTGTAAATTCTTGAGAATTATGATATTGGTAAGAATTTTTAAGTAACTTCTTAGATAAGTGGAAGAATTAGTGTGTTTAATTGGAAAATAAGTAACAGATGTAAAACAAGATAACATTTTGTTAAAATTACCCTTTGAGATAGGATAATTATTTTTCCCCCATTTTATACATGAGGAAAATGAAGCTTAGATATGGTAAGTAACTTTTGTAATGGTTTTCATATTTTTTGTCGCAGAAGTAAGACCCTGGACTATTCCCAAGTATAGTTTTAAAAATGCACATTCTGTCTTGTACCCATGTGTTCATACACATACACACAGAGACACATATATATGTAAACAATTCTAGGTTACTTAGAATAACTGAATAATACCAGATATTTAAATATCTCAAACTCTACTTTGTTTACAAAGTATATTCAAGGGGAGAATTGAATGTACTACAAGCTCATGTTGCAAAACATTGTTGCTTGTGGCTTTAAGGATATTAACTTCAATTTAAATTTAAAACCTTAGTCACAGACAATAGTATGAAGTACTGAAGTTACTAGGCCAGGCTTTCTTTTATTTAGTAGGTTCTAGAAATGTACAGTCTCCAGAGAGTTAAGTATTTAAGGAGTAATGTTTATCCTGAATAGTCCTTATAAAGTGCATACAGACTTCTGGGATCATGCCAGTTGGTAGATGTAAGTCCAACAGTACTTGTTAAGGGACACAAAGTGTGTATCTCTGACCTGAAAGGTCTTTTCTTTCTTTAGCATTTTGAACTGTCAACTCTGAAGACATTTTATAACTTTTTAAAACATTAGGATTTTAGCCATCATTTTATTTTAGAAAACTAGTAATAATTTCCTAGAACATAATCTGATTACTTTTACAAAATAATTGAATATACTTTATCTTTTCAGTGTGTTAGCTTCATGAATTAACTCCATTAAATTTTTAAATTCTTCAACTGAAGCTTTTCTTATCTGACTTGTTTCCTCTTCCTAAATGATTTTAAGATTGCTGCTGCCTATTACTGGCCTTCGTATTCACAGAATACAAATTAATTCATTAGAAGCATTGTCTCTCTGTTCTGTTTGTCCATTTCTTGTTTAATTCCTCGATGGCTTTCTTTAGCTCCTCATTTATTCCAGGTACTGTTCTAGGTGCTAGGGATACAGCAGTGAAAAACAATTTCCCTGCAGTCTATTAGATGTCTTCCTCCCAGTAAGAAGAGAGGTACAATTAGTGACTGGTTAGTTATATGTGTAAGGTAATACAAATAGCTGTATCTGTTTTTTTCCTTCAGTCTGTAATTTTCAAAACTGAATAAATTTATCAGCTTATTTAAATACCACAGACCCAAGCCCTACTCATTAAGGCAGGTAGATCTGTATTAGGTTAAAGCATATATATACTATCCAGTTCTATAAATAATGTGAACCCCCACTGCACATACAGTTTATCCATTCTAAAACATTTAATTCAGCATATTAGTGTATACATTAAAATGTTTATTTGGTTTTTAATATGTTAGTATTCGTAGTGGCATAGCTTCCATAGAATACTTCACAATATTTTATTATTTTATGGCATATATTCTTTCATTATAAAAAGTCACACTTATTGGTATTCATAGAAATATAAAAATCATGAACTTGTGAGCATAAATCCTCTAAAATTAATGATATAAAGAATTCTTTAACATACATTTCCTGTATTTGCAGCAAATCTTATATGCTTATTTTTCATCGATGTCAAACATTTTAAATTTAATAAGCTTACAAAAAGTGGTGTTTTACTAATTCCATGATAGCATCTTGCCAAAACCTCTTAAATTTATATAAATTTCCCTTAGAATCTTTCTTATAACTTCATTGAGCATACTATTCAGTATCCTCCTAAAACCAATTTATTACATACATTTTATTTAACGAAATAAATGATTACTGTAATTTCTATTTTGAGTTTCAAGGATTTATGTTGAATACTAGGAAAACAGATAAATGAAATATTGTATGTTGCCACTGGAGGGTAGTGTTTCCAATTTATATTTTTACAAATGACCAAGTTGAATTTAGTTTGATTAATCACACTAGTCAAGTGTACCATTATTTTAAAAATCTTATTCTGATGATTTCAAACAGGCCCTCAAAAGTTAGCCTTAGTGACTCAGTGGACACATTGAATGGACTTATTTATTTACTTTTTAATTCAAATTCTTTTCTTTAGCCCATTATTCCTATGTTTACACAAAATATTCGAGAAGGATTTAGATCACTTGGAGGAACAAGTAAGTTCTGATTCGTATGGTTTTTAATTATAATGTAATATTTAAAATATTTGGAATTTTGAACACTATAAGGAATCCTTTTGAATTATTAAATATTAGGAAATGGATAGATTGCTTAGGTGTTTTCCTATATAAAGTCTAAATAACTGATTCTAAGTAACGGCAGTTCTTAGGTATTATATTTTTGCTGAGACTGTTGTATACATAACTTGAAGTTTATAGGTAGTGAGTTCTTTAAAACTTGAAAGCATTTTATCTAATTTATTATGTTATACCATGGTGATGAGACACAATATAAATTTATATACTATGGTATATGTATACCATGAGGAAGTTAAAAGCTTTAACAGTGAATGGTGCTACACGTTGAAGTAAGATTAACAACCTGAGGAGATGTCGTTTGCTTTGGTTTACTTTTGTCACTTAACATTTTTTTTTTAGTATTTTTAACCATCTCTATTTACATTGATGAGATTTTTTTTTAATCTACCTTTAATTTATTGAAATAGAAAGTAGCTTTTAGTCATAGGAATGACAGCATTTGGAAATGTTTTTTTCTTCACAATGTCTTATTTCTTACTTTGAAATTTTGTACCCTATAGTAGCTTAAGGTTTTGTACCCTATGGTTTGTATATTGTATTCAGTTGCCTATATTTTGTATCCCTAGCACTATTATTGTAAGTATTCCTATCTACATAAAAGTCCTCTTTTGAAGAGTTTTAAATTGCTGTTGTTTCTTTTATATGTAATGTTATTTTGTGTTGATATTCCATGTTTTTTAAGTCAAAATTTTTTTTATTGAAAAATTTTTTTTCTTCCTTTTTTTTTTCAAATTTAATATGGGAAGGCAGATTGATGTGATACTTGACATTTGTTGTGGAGTTCTTTCAGCCTATTTCTTCATAATTTAAATGGCAAACCAGAAATTATTTTACAGGTTGTTTCTTTAATTGTAAATAATTTTTAAAATCATTTTTGACTGCTTTTAAAAATTTTCCTTGACTTTGAAGCTCAGTATTTCAACAATTAGTATCTAGTTTTTCTTTTAATGATAACTTTAGGTTTTATGGTGTATTTTATATATTTTTTTTTTAAAGAGAGAGTGAGAGGAGAGAGGGGGGGGAGAGAGAGAGAGAATGAGAATTTTTTAATATTTATTTTTTAGTTATTGGCAGACACAACATCTTTGTTGGTATGTGGTGCTGAGGATCGAACCCGGGCCGCACGCATGCCAGGCGAGCACGCTACCACTTGAGCCACATCCCCAGCCCCGGTGTATTTTATATTTACAGGTGTAAATAGTGTTTTCAACTTTAATACAGTACTTAACTATTAACTGTGTAGTCCATGTGGCTAACTTTTTTTGGATTCCCTTGATGCTGTTTTTTGTTTTTTGTTTGTTTGTTTTTTAAACTTATCCATCTGTTTGTTTTTGCCGTTTTATTACTTCCTTATTTAATTTTGCTAAATTTCAGATTGGTCAGGTAGCATCAAAAATTCTTTGCTTTGATATATTAGCTTTTTTTTCTAACTTATAATAGTGAGTTTCAGTCTTTGCATAGTTTATCAGTGTACTATAGTCTCATGTTTACATGAATTTAATTTATACTCCCATTTTTTTCTTTTTTTTAATTCATGTAAATCACTTTATTTTATGTCTTTACACTTTTTAACTTTCGTCTTTTGGTTGCAGTCTTTACCCTTTGCTTTGCAATAATAGTACTTGGTTTGTCTTTTCAAATTTCCATAGTTTTAAAATCTCTCTTTTTTAAAATTAATAGATTTAATGTTTTTATTTTTAGGTTTACTGAAAAAAATTAAGTAGAAAGTATAGGGATTTTTTTTTAAATGTATCCCCTCACCATCCTTCAGTTTTCCCTTGTAATATATTGCATTAGTGCAGTATCATTTATTACAATTGATTGAAAAGCTCATCTTTTTAAAAAATATTTTATAATTCTAAGAAGCAATACTTTCTATTACTTTACTGTGAATCTTGCATAATTAATTTGAAAGTTTACAATTGTATGCTTCGAATATTTAATCAGTAAAAATGATTTTATTTACTTTAAACAGGGCTGTTTAGATGGCTTTATGAAAAATTCCGTTATCCGTTTGCTCCAATGTATGGCGGTTTTCCAGTGAAGTTACGGACTTATTTAGGTGATCCCATTCCATATGATCCAAAGATAACAGCAGAAGAATTAGCTGAAAAGGTAAATTATTTCATATTCCTTAGTCTTAGGACAGATTTTTTCCAATTATTATTTAAAATTTCATAACTTATTTACTTATGTATTCTACAATCGTGTTCTTTGTCAATAGTTCTCAAGAAGTGATGATTTTCCATAGGAGATGGTTGGCAATGTCTAAAGACATTTTTTTATTGTCACAGTGGGCAGAAGTTGGAGGAGGTAGTGCTACAGATATTTATGGCTAGAGGCCAAGGAAAGAATTTATGGTCAGCTGCAGGACATCTATGGATATGGATCTATGTTTAGGGTTTTGGAAATATTGGATTGAAATTAGGGTAAGGAAATCAAAATTGGTGTTGGAGATTTAGAAGTCATTTGCTCTAAGGCAGTCGTGGAAGTCTTAAGCTTGGCAACGCAGGTTGAAGAAAGAAAGAAGAGGACTGAAGACATCTTGTAAGAAATGTAGCATTTAAGGAGGAAGCTAAGGAAGGAGAACAACTGAAGCTAACTGAAAGGGAACTGGAGCAATAAGTAAATTTGTGTGATGGAAGTCAGTAGGGGTGAGAATGATCAGTAATACTTATTGTAAAGAAATCAAGGGAATAAGAATGAGAAAAGACAATTCCGTTTGCACTTATACTTTTAGAGGGTATATAATTACAAAAAAGCAATAGATGTCATCTGTTTAATCACCTAAAATGGGATGAATGTTTTGATTATGACTTTTATACCAGTCTTTGGTACATATATTAGTCTGATTTATTTTTAAAAATTTAAATTGTGATAGAAAGCACACATATTTAACCATTTTAACAGTTTAGTACATGGATGTTGAGCAATAGATTTCCAAAAGTTTTTCACTTTGCAAAACCAATTCTACACTTGTTGAACACAAACCTCTCATTTCTCCCTCCCCGTAGTTCCTGACAATCATTGTTCTACTTTTTGCTTGTTAGAGTTTAACTACCTTAGGTACTTCATATGAGGGGAATCATAATTTTTGTCTTTTGGGAATTAGCTTTTTTTTCACTGAGCATAAAATGTTTACAAGATTTATGTGTCTTCTAGTACATGACTGAATTTTCACATTCTCTAAGGCTAACTAATATTTACCCCATTTTCTTTATATATTTATCTGTTGTTGGGCACTTAGATTGTTTATGCTTGTTTTGACTCGAGTCTTCACTACTATGAATAATGTTACAGTGAACATGTGTGTGAAAATTTATCTGTTTTGATTTTTTTTGGATGTATATCCAGAGTAGTATTGCTAGATCATAGAGTAATTGTATTTTAATTTTTTTTTCCAGGAACCTTCATGTTCTTTTTCATATTAGCTGTTACCATTTTACATTCTCACACAGCACATGAGGGTTTTTATTTTTCTAGATCCTTGCCAATAATAAATACTTATTATTTTCTATTTTCTTTTTACTTTTAACCGTGGCCATCCTAATGGGTATGAGGTGATATCTCATTGTGGTTTTGATTTACATTTCTTTAATAATTAGTGATATTGAGCAGCCAACTTTTTATATGCTTGTTAGCTCTTTATATGTAAACATTTTTTGAGAAATGTTCATTCAAGTCAGTTACTCAATTTTTAGTTGAGACAATTGTTTTATTGTTGAGTTGTAAAGCTTCTTTATATATTCAGCATATTAACCCCATATCAGATATGTGCTTTGCAAATATTCTCTCCCATTCTGTAGGCTACTTTTCAATTGATGTTTATTTTTTATGATGTGCAGAAATTGTGAGTTTGATATAGTACGATTTGTCTATTTTTACTTTCTTTGCTTTTAGTGTGCTAAGAAATTATTACCAAACCCAACGTCAGTTCTCTATGTTTTCTTCTAAGAATTTCCTACATTTTATATATTGAATTTTCTAGCACCATTGCTGAAGAGCCTGTACTTTTGCAACTGTGTAGTCTTGTCACTCTTGTTGAAGATCTTTTGGCCTTTATGTGAGTCATAGATTTGTGCTTCTTCTTTTTTACTATTACTTCTTTGTTTTTGGCTATTTAGGTCCTTTCTTGTTTCGTGTGAATTTTAAGACTTTCTTCTATTTCTGCAAAAAAAATGTCATTGGGATTTCGAATCTGTGTATTGCTTTGGGCAGTATAGACATTTTAACAGTATGAATTCTTTCAGTTCATGAACATGGATGTCTTTCTATTTGTGTTTTCTTGGATTTCTTTTAGCAAGTTTTGCATTTTCAGTGTCCAAATCTTTCTCCTCTTGGGTTAAGGTTTTTCTTAAATATTTTAATTTTTTGATCCTACGGTTTTATTATTTTTCATTTCTATGGTTCATTGGGATTTTATTTTCTGTTTCTATTATTTTATTGTTCATTGTCAGTATAGAGAAACAACTAATTTTCATGTATTGATTCTATATTCTGCAGCTTTGTTGAATTTGTTTATTCTGTCTTTTTGTGAGATTTTTAGGGTTTTCTACATATTAGATTATATTATTTACAAAGATGATTTTATTTATTATCCATATACAGTCTAATTTAATCCTCATATCAACCCTAATTATTACTATTTTTATTTTATTTTAGAACTGGGTTTGAACCCAGGGATGCTTTACCATTAAGCTACATCCCCAGCTTCCCATCCCCCTTTTGTTTTAGTTGTGTCAGAGTCCCATTAAGTTGGTGAGACTGGCCTCAAACTTGATATCTTCTTGTCTAAGCCTCCTGAGTTGTTAAAATTATAGGTTAATTATTACTGTTTTATACATGAAAAAACTGGATATTCATTCAGCATTGCTAGGTCATGCTACAGTAACAAAAACAACAGAATCTTACAGGCTTATGATGATAAAATTTACTTCTTGTTGGTGTTGATGGGCTTTAGCTGTAGCTTTGTCCATGTCCCTATCTTCATTGTTTTGAGATTAGGCTAAAAGAAAAGCCCCATGTAGAATGTTGCCATTTGTGTGGTAAAGGGAAAAGGTCAGGGATAGACCATGAGATGGTTTTCAAAGATTCTTTTTGGAAGTGGCCCATTCATTTCTACTGGTATTTTATTGCCAAAGCCAGGATGCTAGACTTCTGTGAGGTAGGACCTGAAATCCTCCCACAAGGATGGTCAGGGAAAGAGGGGCCTGAAAGGGAAAAGGAATAAATTAATACACCTGCCTTACTAGGACTCATCAAGTTAGTCACTTAGAAGAGACTGTGCAGCTGAAGCAACATTAATACTGTGTTAGATGAGACTGTTCACATGAAAGGTTGATAGGAAGATTCACAAAGGTAACATTAGTGATACATTTTATGCCTTCTTGTTCTTTAAGTAATTAAAATGGTTCATTTAGTATATTCAGTTTAGCTCTGTTGACCTCAAGGTAAAATCCTGACTTTTAAGGTCAGGGCATATTCTCCATACAGCATGACTCTTCTCTCATCCTGAAAGGATGCTTTTCTAAGAGCTTCATGGTCTAAGAGCTATACCAGAGCTGAGACCTAACCCTTTGATTCTACTTCTACCCCCATACAAATTGTTGTTAATATATATCTTTGCTGCTCCCTAACAAATGCATTCTTTAGGATATAATTGAATTCTGTCTTGTTCTTTTAAATTGTCTTCCCACCTATCCATTTGGATTTAAGTGGGGTTAGAACTACGTCGGAATACTTTTTTTTTTTTTACAGACTACTTGTCATGGTCAAAACAGAAGGTAATGGAAAGAGGGAAAAAATCCTGTCCTAAAAACTTTAGGCAGCAGGGTCACTTTGTGTAAATTAACTTCAGTGAACTAAAGTATGCTTGAAATCAAGAAAATTTGAAATTCTCCTTTTGTGAATGCTTTTTATGATTTCCCAGTCTTTTTAATACCAGTAATGGAAGCACAAACTAGCAGAATAGATTACCACACATTTGAAATGATTAGCGTTGAAATTAAAGTTTATTTGTTTGTTTGTTTTGATAGTGCTGATTGAACCCAGGGGTGCTCTACCACTGAGCTACTGTCTTAGTCCTTTTGTTGTTGTTGTTGTTGGCAAAGAGGGTACCAGGGATTAAACTCAGGGGCACTAGACCACTGAGCCACATCCCCAGCCCTATTTAGTATTTTATTTAGAGACAGGGTTTCACTGAGTTGCTTAGCACCTTGCTTTTGCTGAGGCTGGCTTTGAACTCGAGATCCTCCTGCCTCAGCCTCCCAAGCCACTGGGATTACAGGCATGCACTACCATGCTCTGCAATCTTTTTTATATTTTATTTGTCCTTTTTGTATTTTATTTGAGACAGTCTTGCTAAATTGCCCAGGCTGGCTTCAACCTTGCTTTCTTTCTGCCTGGCCTCCTAAGTAGGTGAGATTATAGAAGTGCACTGCTACACCTGGAAGCATCCATGTGTTATAGAAATGAGAACTCAGTTTTGAAATGGTTGATAGACTTTTCAGGCATTTGATTGTGGAGAAGTCATTTTCTAAACACCATCTAAATGTAAGTTAGTATATACTATAATAATACCAAAGAGGACACTTGAATATTTCCTTAAAGTTCTCTCAGTCTTAATCTGTTGTTCTGTTTCTGGGTCTCTTTCTCTTTGTCTCTCCCTACATTATTATATGTACACCCATATGTAAGTACAGATTTATTTACATGTACAATTATTGCTAAGGTGGAGACAATGGAAAGGAGTAGATAGATTTGAGTACTATTCAGGGGATAAAACTAACAAGTGCTGTCTGTCAGTGGATTGGCTGCTGTGAATGAGAATCGGGAATTAAGGGTGACGCCTAAGTTTTGGCGTAAGTGGGCAGATTCATGGTATTATCATTTGCTGAGAGAGGGAAGGAACTCAAGAAAGGACAAAAAATGTTAGTCTTAAAATTAAGCATGTTGAGGGCTGGGGCTGTTGTAGCTCAGTGGTAGAGCGCCTGCCTCGCATGTGTGAGGCACAGGGTTTGATCCTCAGCATCACATAAAAGTAAATAAAGGTATTGTGTCCGTCTACAACTAAAAAAAAATTTTTAATAATTAAGCATGTTGAGTCTGAGATGCATTTAAAACATCCAAGGGAAGTCATGTTGAACATAACAATCTGAAACTAATAAGATTGAAGGTGAAAATTTGGGAATCTTCAGCAAGTGGATGGTAATTGAAACTATGGAAATGGATCATATTACTGAGTCTTTGAATAATAAATCAGTGACTGGTTTTGGGAGAATGAATCTGTAAAAGGAAATTGAAAGGGAATAGCCCAAGAGAGATCAGAAAACCAGGAAAGTGTGAGGTTCCAGAAGCAAAAGCATTATAAGAAAGGGAAGACAGTGGTAATTTAGAGGACAAGTAAAATGAAGATTAAAAGCATGTACATTTGATGTAGTGTCAGAAAGATATCGCTGGTTATCTTTGCAAGAGTTGTATTTTCTTAATGGATAGCCCTGATATTTCTTTACCCCCAAATCTTTCTTTGACACTTCAATTTATAGCAATTTAAACTCCCTTCATGATTTAATTGGAACCTAATTTTAAACCTTATATCTAGCTTCTGAACACACACCTCAGACTCCAACCATTTGAACAGATTGACTTGCCATTCCTTAAAAACTGGTGATTTCCCATGTCTTCGATCCTCATGCTTTCCTGCTCATGTGTTGTCTCCTGATTGCTACCCACCTAGAGGGCTCTTCTAAATATTTTTCACATTTCAGGTTATATGTATCACAAATGATCTCACATTTTAATTACTTTATACTTGATTCTTCTTATTCACTTATTAGCTCTTTTTAATATTAGAGACTTGTTTCACTATCATTATAGCTTTAAAAGATCTAATATTTCCTGAGGGATAAAATTTTAGAAATATGATTCATGAAATAAAATCTGCCTGTCAGTCATTCTGCCAAGTACCTGAAAACATCATTATAAGTTCATTTAGCCTTGTTAAACTGAATGAAGTAGTTCTCATTTTACAGATGCGAAAACTGGTTTGGAGAGCTATTTTAGAAATACATCTTTGGGTTAGGATTTATTGGTTTAAAGATTAGATTATAAAAGTAAAAAGTATGTGTGTATTCATGCACTATTAACATATATAAATAAAGGTTTTAAAGAACCATAAACTGATTTAAAAATAAAAATTGTTGAAATTTCTAAAGCACAGCTTGAGAAAAGTTCTTGATATATGCTAATTGGCTTTTCCATTGCAATGACTTAATTAAAATTCCTGTTAAACTGTCTAGAAATTGAGGCATTGAACTAAAGTGTATCAGCTCATGCTCATTCTTTGTTTTCCTGTTTCATTGCTTAATATTTTGGGTTATGTATGGTGATGAAAGAAAAATATACTAGAGTTTATTAGTGGCTAGAGAGGATTAAATCTTGTATTCACCTACTAGAAGATTTCTTATTACTTTCTTTCTTGTAACTTTTTCTTCAATTCATTTTAGTGTTTTCTGTGTGCAAGCCATTTTTCCATATTTTTATTGGTGCATTATAATTTTACATAATGGTAGGATTCATTGTTATACATTTGCTCATACTATGTGCAAGGCATTTCTGTGGAGAAATACTAAAATATATCTTACGGAGCTTACAATCTAGTGCAGAAAATAGCCAACTAGACAACAACTATAATTCAAGGCTTAATAAATACAGATAAGAAATAAGATATTGTGTACCGAGAAGGAAATCATTCATTATGATAGGAGATGGGGGCCAAATTAAGGAGTACTTCTTGAAAGTAGTAGTCATAAAAATTTTTACTATATAAACTACATAGAGAACTTAAATAATAATGACTTTTCTTTTGTTTTCTTAATAGACGAAGAATGCTGTTCAAGCTTTGATTGATAAGCACCAAAGAATTCCAGGAAACATTATGAGTGCTTTGTTAGAACGTTTTCATAAAAAACAAAAGGTCAACTAGAAGTTGATTTAATTTATGATATTAATATGCTTGTGTCTATGGTACTGTCTTCTAAATTTTATAGATCCTGTAATTAGTATTTTTAAAAAATCATGTTGATAAGCATCTTTCTCAGAACTTGTGTATTTAAATTGTCAATTTTTTTTTGCAATCAGTTGTGTCAGATTTAATTAGTAACTTGTTACATGCCTAATAATTCAGAAAATGATTGTATTCCATTTGTAACTTCTTAATGATTTATGATAAATGTATGGGTTCTTGAAAGTTAAGTTTTTAATTACAGAAGTTTAGGTTAAGTAAACATTCCTGAATAATGCACCTAATTTCTTTATGTGTCTGACTGAGATAATTTTAAGACAGGTATAAGCTATAGGTTTTTGTACAATTGCTTAAGTTAGAAAGGAAAAGTTTTAAAATCTGTTCCTCATTTCTTTCATGACTTCGGGCAAGTCATGCAATGTTTTTGTGCCTCAATAATTTACTTTTTAAGTCATGGAAATGCTATGGTAAGGAACACTACTTTAAGTTCTTTATTATTGATGACTATTGAACTGAAATTATAACCAAATTATGTCATATCTTATCCATGGAATGTTTGAATTTTTCCTTCGGGTATGATATCCAGTTGCCAAGCACAACGAAAGAGACGTACTGTTTTTCAAATTGAATAGAAAGAAATTAGAGAAAATATAATTTCTACTTGTTACCTTTAGTATTTATTATATTTTTGACAAGATCCTGTAAATATACAATATAGGGTGCATTGTCAGCCCTATAACATGGCATTAAATAGTACAAGGATGAAAATCATTGTTGTGTTCTGCATTTTGTTTTAGAAGCTGATTCTAGGCTGAGGAAAGTGGAAATAAAACTCTGCTTTGGCTCAACACTGTAGTTCTTGCAGTTTGACTTTGTACCAGTCAGATGGCTTATTGTTTCAATAAAATATACTTACTTGAATGATGAATTTATGTGAACAGAAAGCTCTCTAAGTAGTTAATGGCTTTTGATTTGCTGTCTCCTTGAAGGTCAATTTTAAATAGTATTTAAACAGAAAAGTATCCAAAATCAAATGCAGTATCTCCCTTTTGTAGATGTTAAAGTACTTGGGTTTTGTATAGATTTTTGTATTATGAGTGTATATTTATGATATGTGTAAAATATCAAACAATATGAAAATAAAAGTAAAGCTGAATTGTTGTTCATTGTCTTATGAATTGCATACGTGTCATTTTCTTATTTTTTTATATTTATTTTTTAGTTATAGGTGGACACAATATTTTATGTGGTGCTGAGGATCGAACCCAGTGCCACATGCATTCTAGGCGAGCGATCTACCTCTGAGCCACAACCCCAGCCCTTTTTTATCATATTAAACTGATTTTATTGTTTTTCTTTACACATTTCTCATCAACAATCATTTCTTTTATCTACATTGAATAAGCCTATTTTCCAATGTAGTAAATGCATTCAATTTGAATTAAGAGCCAATTTGCAATATTTTTTTAACTTTGCTAGAGGGAACAGTATTTGTTTCAGAATTGAATATTCAATCTTACTGCTTTACTGAAAACATTTTTAATTCTCTGATAAGCAGATTACAGGTAGGCTTCCCGTCTAGATTGATAAGATCATTATTGTGCTACTTGAATTTAAACCCCATTTATAAGAATCAGGAATATGACTAAACATAGAAATATTAGTAATAATTGAAAGGAGGTCTATTTGGGCTTGAAGTGTGTTCAAGCAGTGTTCATTCATAGTTATAAAGACCAGGAAATTTATCCCTGATATACCACTATAATCATACTACAGTCTAATTTAATTTACATATTTAAAAATTTACATATTTAAATTTTGCCAGTTTTCTCAGTAATATCATTGATATCAGTTTTTCTTCTTGACCCATTTTTTATAGCAGGATCACACACTGCATTTAATTTTTCTATCTCTTTATTCATCTAGTCTGGAGTGATTTTTCAAGAAAAAGCCCTGCTTTATCTTTAATGATAACAGATTTTTAGAAAGGTGGGGACATTAATTGATAGACAAGTCCTGAATTTGTTTTTGCCTGAATGTTTTGCTTTGCTTCAAGTCATGTAGTAATCCATAAATACAGCATAAATGATACTGTGGCTTTCTTCAAGGTGTCACATTTGGAGGCATGAGTTGGTTTGTGTCAACATGTTTGGTTAAGACATTATGTATCAGTTCCTTGTGAAGCTGTTTTTTTCTCTTTGTGATGAGTAAGTATATGGACAAACACCTTGAGATTATACACATATCTGTTCCTCATCAAACATTGACACGACTTTTAGCATCCTTTGAATCAATTTTTGTCCGAATAAAATTATTACTCTGGGGGTTCAGGTGTGTGATTTTCATACTCTTATTCTACAATTATTAGTTGGCAGCCTATAAAGAACTTTCCAATTTCTGTCCCACCCTCTCCACACTCGTTACAGACTAGACTCCGGGAATTCATCTTGTATTCAGAGTGTATGTATACATATTAAGTGATTTAAATGTGAGACACTTGCGTGATGTTCATAGCATTTACTTATAATTCACTAAAAGTGGGATATGTTTTTATATTTGTATGGTTAATATTTTTGAAAAATATACATAACATTAAATTTACCATCTTAACCTCTTGTAAGTGTACTCTTCACTGGCATTAAGTACATTTGTTAGTTGGCAGTTAGATATGAGCAGTGGGATATAATACTTGGTACGGAACAAATTGGTTTATCAATAGTCCTGCCTAAGTGGCACTGCAAGGTCTGACAAGATAGCTATTTAAGGACCTTTGCCTGATCTCAGTTCTATAAACTATTCCTCTTATAATTGGAAGAAAATAGAGAAATTCAGGGAGTAAGAACCAAAGGGCAAGGATATGTTTGATCAAAAGGACCTAATTGCTAAGACATCCTAAAGTCCCTAAACAAATAGTAAATACCAGAGAGAGATTCCTGGACCTGAGAAAGCAGGATTATTAAGACCATAAATTCTAGAACCTGTCAGCCAGGCCAAGATGACCAAGAGTTGCCCTTAGGTGGTTAGCTCATATAATGTCTCAATCTAGAACCAAAAAGTGACACTGGCATGAGACCTCCTTCCTGTCTCCCCCAAAAGCTGGGACACAAGTGAGCTCTGTTCTCTTCTCCGAGTAGCCCACTCTCTCCCTTGAGGGTGCTTCCTCATCTTTTTTCTCTTCTAATGAACTTTGCTATACTTTTACTAATTCTCATGTCTTGCTTGAATTCCTTTCATGCGAAGACACAAGAGTCAAGACAAAACACAGTCTCAGGTATGATCTTTATGTTCCTTATCACATTTACACTGTTGAGGGTCTGTCACCAGAACTTCATCATCCCCAGTACACTACCAATTTAACAATAATTTTCCATTCCTTCTCAGACCCTGATAACGTCTGTTCTGTTTTCTGTCTGAATGCATTTACCTACTCTGAGTACCTCATGTAAGTGGAGTCAACCACTATTTGCTCTTTGGTTCTAGCTTATTTTACTTAGCATTATTGTTTGATTTTTTTTTCTGAAACAATTACATCATTTCAGCACCAATTCTCTAACACCAACTAGCGGGGGGGCTACAAATTAATTCAATTTTGACATTAACTCCTGAGTGTTAGACCCCGCAGAGTGAAGGCTCAGTCTCCCAAGACCGCTGTCATTTCAGATGCCAGCCTACCCCATTTCTACCTGGCTCACACCAATTTGAAAGGTTCTGATTTCCCCCCTCAGTTTTGATAATTCATTACAATAACAGAATTCAAGAAAAGGCTATACAGATTTTATTATAAAGGACACAACTCTGGAGCAATCAAAATGAAAGAGAACAAGGTATGGGAATGCCCTGCAGAGCTTCCGTATTCTCTCTAACATATCCGTGTGCTCACTAACCCAAGAGCTTCTGGAAGCATGCAGGTATGACTCATTAAATCATTGATAGCCACTGGTTATTGACCTCAAATCTCTAGATCCTTTCTTCCACCTTAGGTCAGGGTGAGGAGGATAGTTCTAATCCTTTAATCATGTATTTTTTTTTTAAATAACCTGCTCCCATTCTGAAACTGGGGAGCCTTACTATGAATCTCATTAACATACAAAGGACATTTACTATTGCTCAGGAAATCACAACTGGAAATGTCACTGAGTTTTTTTCCCAGAGAGAGGGACCTCCATCTGGACAAATGGAATCCCTAGTTTATGTGACAAAAAATAATTCCAGCATGTGCCAATCAAGACAAATCAGGGAAAGCAGACACATTCAAAGGAGAATGCAGTATCTCCAGAGAAATGTTTTATGGGATAAAGGAAAAAGTAAATATTTAAAAGAGTAGGCTATCTCCAGAGAGACAGCAGCCCCTTTTCTGGAGTGTTAATATTTATAGAGGGATAGAAGCTAGGAGCTGGATTAGAGGTGGAGTTAGAGTAGTAACCTAATTTCTTCCCCATTTTTCTAGCATTTGCTCATTGCCTTCTCATCATATTACTTTTTGCTGGCAATGATGTAGACCAAGGGCAAGGGCCAGGTTGTGTACAAGTTGCCTGTTTTGCATTCCAAAAATTTATTGGTGTTTCTCTTTTGATAGTATATCTTTCTTTGTATCCCCAAATTCCTCTCTGTATCATTGTAATATGCTGCTTTTAAGTCCCCTGGCTATATACCCAGGAGTGGGATAACTGGGTCGAATGGTGGTTCCATTCCAAATATTCTAAGGAATCTCCATACTGCTCTCCAGAGGGCTTGCACCAGTTTTCAGTCCCATCAGCAATGTATGAGTGTGCCTTTTTCCCCCACATCCTAGCCAACATTTATTGTTACTTGTGTTTTTGATAATTGTCGTTCCAACTGCAGTGAGGTGAACTCTTAGAGTAGTTTTGATTTACATTTTTCTAATTGTTAAAGATGTTGACTATTTTTTCATATATTTGTTGATCAATTGTATGTTTTAGGATGGGTTTTTCCATGTCTGCAAAGCAAACAAAAAAGTCAGGAGGCTTTTGATAAAATGGCATTGAATCTATAGATGACTTTGGGTAGTATTGTCATCTTACCAAGATTAAATATTCTGATCTATGAATATGAGATGTTTTCCCATTTCTTGAAATCCTCTTTATTTTTGAATTTTCAAAAGATGCTTGCCAGTGCTGATGTAATGAAAAGAATCGCAAAAGTTGTCAGAATCAAAATGGAGTAATTTCTGCCAACCCTGATCAAAAAATAAATACATAACGCTGAAAGGTGATGAAAGAAGTGTTCTCATGCATGACTGACTGATAGTAACTCACAAAGACTCTCAGAACCACATTCTTGCACAGGGGTCACTGCAACATTACACACACCACACACACACATACACACACACACACACTTCTATGAGGATATCTACCCATCAACTGTCTACTCAACTCTGGGACTGGCACCACTCTTATTATTAATCCTTATGGCCAAGGGCTATTTTTTCAAAATACCTTGCGCAGTTATCCTCATGTGTGCCTTTAAAAATTTCCCCTTGCCTCAACTTCTTTGAACATGCACATAGTTTACTATGGCATGTGTATTCCCATTGTGATGCCATGTTCTTCCCATGCTCCTCCCTCCTCCCTCCTGAAATGCTGTTCTACTCCCACATAAATATTATACTTTGGAGAATCTCCCTCTGATTGTTATTTAGATTGACAGCACAGATGTGAACATCTAAGTCTCTTCCATATTGCACAAATTGATTTCCACATACCAGGCTGGCTTTGGGTATTGGAATAATTTTGACAGTCTTAGAGACTTTATGGTGTTATTTTAGATTATAATTCAATATCTGAGAAACGTTTTGTTAATCTTAGTAATCCCATTTAATTCACTCTAGAGCAGCTATTTGCTTATCCTATCATTTCCTCTTTTCTAACATGAGGGGGATATTTGATGAATTCTTTTAACCTGGAAGTTCATATATTCATTTCTAAGTAATTTTCTGTTTTGTTTTTAGTCTTTAAGATTTTAAATTGTGAAATATATAATTTATCTAAAAGTGACTGTAATATATATGTACATCTGGCTTTAATTCTTCTTTCTTATAATGTATTTGTCAGATTTTAATATCAAGGCTCTTCTGACTTGATAAAACTCATAAAAATGAGCTTTTCTATACTTTGGAAGAATTTCTATGTTATTGGTAT